GAACAAATTTAATTTCTTTTCCTACTAAGTTAAAATCTTTTAAAAATATTATTATTACATTTATGTATACTAGACAATTATAATTTACATAGAAAAGCAAATGGAAATATGTATATTTCGAGATCATAGTCTTTGTATTTTTTAGTTCATTTTTAAGACTATTTTGTTATGATGTATATTTTTTATTAATTTTTTTTTGTTCTAGACTGTATACATATTTTATCCTAATAAATTTGCTCCGATTACTACGTGTTATAATATTTTTGTTTTTGTCTTTAATTCAAAATAAAAATATAATATACATGTTTACCTTGGGTGGTCCAAATGAAGTCCGTTGTTAAAAAATCATATTTTGTACTTATACATAAATCTAATTAAATTTTAATTAGACACAGTTTCTGATTTTTACTTTAGCACTACGAACAATTGATGCACTGTCCCGAAACGTAGCTGATCGAAATCTTAGATAGCGAGTAGATAGATCTTTAAACTGTGGATTATTCATAATTATACGAAGTAGTTTGTTTGCCGACCTCCAACATTTTTATCAGATTATATTTATAGCAGATTTGTTATATAGTAATATTCAGTTCTGAATTTTTTTCGTCATTATCAGTAATTTACATGTCAGCCCGTGGGTAGCCATAATAAAATTGTGTATTTCTCATATATTCATAATATTCACACAAGGTTTTTCATCATCCGGCTGCCACTATTTCTACTGCGATTTACGAATATTCTGTTCACGTACACATTAAAAAACAATTACGATAAGCAGTTTTTTTTACATTTAATGAATATTTTTACTATACCAATAACGACTGTATAATTCGACAACTTCCAGCTGAGCATTCTATATATAAACACACTGCCGTTAGCCGGGTATAGGGGTTCATGAAGTCTCAGGTGTCGCAGTGTTTACTCAGCACACTTTTAATAAATTATCCGGTCAATGATTATTTGATTCATTTTCTACAGAGTTTCAATTAAAAAATACGTAAGGTAAAAAACAATTCAAATTATTTAATTATTGATTCTCTATATTGGTCGTATAAAGATGTATATTTATTTATTTGTCGTTTTTTTTTTTTTACTGAGAAAAACATTTGTACTAGAAATCTTAATCCGATTTTTAATCTATTTACATCTGTAGATTAACAACGTGGGACATTATTAGAGAGATAATTTTTATTATTTAATTTTGTTGCGTTTATCATCATAAAAAATCTTG